CTTCGGCAGGCAGGGCGCACGCCTCTTGCCCTTTTCCTCTTCTCCCGCCTCCAGATCCTTTGTCACGGATCCGAGTCAGAGGGGAGGGAAAAGGCCAAAGGGTTTGGAAGGCATCCGAGGGGCGTCCCGGGGAAAACAACCGCCGCAGCGCCGAGCCGCTTTGGCAGAAGTCCCAGCAAGGCAAGGCGGAGGACGGGCGTTGGGAATCAGGCCTCGGTTGGAGACGCGGGTCTCCCAACCGGGAGAGATCAAACATTCTCAAGCAGGACTTGAGCTGGCAGCCTGAAAAGGACAAGGGGGGGGGGGGAGAGAAAAAAGCGCGGGAGGGGAGAATCCGCGCGGGGGGGGCTGGTGGTTTAGAGCCAGCCAAATGCCCCTCTGCCATAAAGATTCCCTGTGCCACAGGATTTATCCTTCCCCCGAGAGTTCATTGTACTACACAGCCTGGCTGCCCTTCTCGCATGAATCTGTTTTGTAACAAAGTCTCCCCGGCGTGGGTATTAAGAGAATAAAGCCTCCCTCCCCTTCCTCCCCCTCCCTTTGATCCCCCCATCTTGTCAATGCAGCAGCTGCTCTAGAGAGGCGCTGCTTCCGAGCCGCGCGAAACAAGCCAAAATGGAACTTGAGCGCCCCGCAGCGGCCCCGAGGCGAAATTAAGCTCGGAAGAAAAAAAAAAAAAAAAAAATAGGGGGAGGGGGAGGGGGGGGGGGGGGGGAGGGGGGGGGAGAGAAGAGAAGGAAGTGGGCCAAAAAAAAGCAAAGGAAAAAAAATAAATAGATAAAAAAAGCAAACCGGGCGCCCCTCCCAAGCGCCCCTTGTGCGTTGCGAAAAAGAAAGTAGGCAAGCTTTGGCTTCCTACTTCGCTTTGGAAAGCGAGTTCGCGGACGTTTGACCCGGTTTGGAGGGGCAGAAAGGTTAAGAAGCAAAGGCGGGAGGGGGGGTGAGAATGAGAGAAGAGCGTCTTGTCTTCTCCAGATTCTCTCTTGACCGTTTCTGGCTTTGCTTCACAGCTGGAAGAAAATTAGGATTCTGGAGGGAAAGAGCTTCCATAAATAGGAGAAACAGAACTCTGCACCAGGCATAAAATCAAGCCTGATTTTCCTGGGCCATGATTAAAACCATTTTTGTGCCCTGCCGCTTTTTTTACAAGGTTGTGCCACTAAGTTTTGAGGGCAGAAAGAGAGCTTGGGCACCTCACTTCAGGGTGGGGAGCTCTTCTCCTTTTGTGTTGACTGGCATCTGTCATTCAAACGGTAGGTATGAGCTCTAACAGAGAAAGGCGGCCTATTGGCTTCCAGATGTTTCAGCTCGGATTTTGCCCACCTGACCCATGACAAAAAGCTGTATTTGAAAACAATTTTTTTTTCCTCGATTTCCAGAGACCGCCTGGAGTAAATCCCTGCAATTTTCTTTGCAAGTTTTTTTCAGAAATGCTTTGCCATTGCCTCTGTCTTCTCTGGCTGGCAAAGAGTGGCTGGCTTAAAGTCACCCAGTTGGCTTTGTGCCTAAGACAAGGCTAGAACTCACTGTCTCCCAGTTTCTAGCCTGACACCTTAACTCACTATACCAAATTGTTTTAACTCAAAATGTTTAGAAAGCATCGAATTGCTGATTCCTGAGCTGGAGCAGAACATTAGTTTGATATATTTTTTTTTTCTGAATGGGCTCCATTTTAATTGTGTGTTTGTATGTACTTGAGTGTCATAAAAAAAGAGAGAAGGTGAAATATTCTTCTAAAATATCAGGTGACACCATGCTTGGAAGGAAAGACCTGAAGGATTATGTCTGTGATTACACAGCAGGTGAAAAAGAGCCTTGAGGAGCAGAGTGAATCTAGTTATTGAAAAAGGAGTGATTTCAGAATTAGAATTTCCCCGACTGCAACAGGGCAATTGCTAAAGGCTTGAGATTAATCCTTAGGGGGCTTCCTGTCTCTTGTGTCTCTTCCTTTCCTTGTCATGCCTAGATATGGTACTTTTGTCTTCTGGGAATGTTGGATCTGCCTTGAAAGCCATCTCACAGGTAGTGGCTAGTGCTACATTTTGTGCAGCATAGGATTGTGCTGTGTGTGACTTGTGCATTTTGGGAAGAGAGAGAGATGGGGACACAGTAAGATATAAAATGCAACTCAGCTTCTTTTCTAAAAGATTTTTATTATTTGTTTTACTAAATATTTCCCAAAACAATACCTTGACACAAATTAAATCCTGGTGGGTTTGGCAGCATATGATCACTCATTTTTTACCAGGTGTCTTAAAGTTCCAGCCTGATGTTCATTTCTTTCCCTGGGAATAAGTCTCACTAAACATGAGAAGTTTTGCCTTGGAGGGACGTGCATAGGAGTACATAACAGAGCTGTTAGTTTTATGACTCTGTGCATCAACTGCAAGGAAAGAACCTCATGAGTTTACCTCCATAACATTATGCTTTTGCAAGACCACCTCAGGACCTTAACAAATGCCTGCAGTGATATGTAAGGACTAGCAATTGTGGAAATCTCATGTTAACATTACAGGGTATGATGTTTGTGTTGTGTAAGAAGCCAAAGTTTTCATCGCCCTTCTCCTTATGTCCAAAAAGTGAAAGTTCACAAAGTCCTATTGACTTACATAAATTTAAATACGTTACGATCCACTCATGGAACAACTTTGTGACTTTTATATATTTATTTCTACCTTGCCTATCCCATTCTGTTCACACCAAAAGGCTAAATGTGTTGATGTGATGCATTTCAGTTGTGAAAGCCATGCTTGTGTGTGTGCAGCATAGCTAACGGAAAGCACATTTGTAGCATGGGGCTTTTCCCCTGGAATTAAATGGACAGGCATATGATCCTCTAAATCTATTTGCACAGGAGCGTAATCATCAATTAGCACAATGAAAGCTGCTGTAGGATTCTCCTTATCTCGTTGTTATCTTTATCAAGTAATTTGTTCTCAGTTCCCTCTCCAGGAATTGGAAAAAAAATGGGTATTGTAAAGTACATAGATCTTTGCTGAATAAGATAGGTGAATCTGCTGTCCAGAGACCAAATGCTAATGCTGAGTTACTCTTGATGAACCGTAAATATATGTGCATTGGAGCCATGGCCTGTCTTTCCCTTTTCTGTCAGCTGCTGAGGATTTCATGAACATGTATAACTTCTAGTATTTTAACTGAAGCATCCAAGCTCCTTGATCAAACCTGGGGATAAACGGATTGGTATGCTTGAAATAATTAATTCATGTCTCCAAAATAAGCCATGTTCTTGCTATTATAGTTATTGGTCCCTTTTTTACATCTTGGGATCCTATCTGATTCTCATCCATCAATTGAAATCTCTCTCTAGCTTTCTGGGTACAGTTTATACTACACAAAATGTTCATGGCCCTTAGAAAAATCTAAATGCTTTAGGCAGGTTGATATAAGTAGCGGATGTCTGTGTTTCAGGTTAAGCAAGAGTTTTCAAGTGGAAAATCCTCATATGATAAAGATGAAGTACTGCCCAATTTATTTATTTTTTTAATTTTAAAAAAAATCTTTGGGAATTTTGTTGATGACCTCTTTGTTCTGTTAAGGGTAACATATGTGTTTTTTTCTAATTCCATGAGCCCTGAAATGGGCTGGCTTTTATAACATTTGATGCAATTCAAAAGTGAAACATAATCAAGTAGTCAAAAGTTAACATAATATTAGTGACAATTCAAAAGCAGTCACAATTGAAAAGTTAACATAATATTAGAAATTAAATCACCCAGATCTTTTTAACAAAGGTTACATATAGATATAAGTACAGATTTACATCTGAAACTAGAAATTTAACCAAGCCTCCCATTTTCCAATAGTGACAATTTCTCTGTTGTTATAAAAAGACTTGCTAAGAATAAAGTTTACAGGTCAGCAGATAGGCAGATATCCAAAGAATTTAGGATTCAGATCAAGCAGTTATAATCTCTATTAAGAAACTAAAGAACTGATGTGTTAACAAATACTGCAAAATAGTTTTCCTATACATTATTCTTTGTTCATCGTACACATATGAATAAATTCAAACGCAAATTTCTAGAAAGGGAGAATAAAATTTTAAAGTGATATGAGCCCCTTTCTGTAGGAAAAGAAAGCACACATCTTTACAATGTTTGCTGTTTCCAGCAAGGTAGTAACCCCGCTGACTTCAGTCCATCTAAGATCTAAATATATCTTGGACAATCAAGTCATAGAAGCATACTTTTAAAAAACTTTTACCAGTACTTTTAGTTGATTTGCAAAATATCTCAACATGCAGCCCTGGGAAGTTATTCACATACTTCTATACTATAAAAGAGGACGTAGTCTGTGCCAGCAGTTTCATGACTTAATATTTCAGGTTAGCTTTCACTTGCAATTCAAGGATTTTTGTTTTTCAGGTTTACGTGATGTCCGCAGGTGCTTTGGGCATCTAATATATAAACATGATTGTTTAAATGTTATTTACAAGAGGCCTCACACTTCACATGCATTTTATGCATGCACAGGAACTATGGAATCATAATATATTATGGTCATTAGTAAAACAGTATATTTTATTTCATTTTATTTATGTTTATATTGTTCTGGGATTTCCCCACATACATAACATACTGTATATCTAATATGTATCTTATACTAGGCTTCAATTTCTGCCATCTAAGATATTAGAGAAGTTCAAATTCTGCAATTAGGGTAATCATTATTATTATACTATTATTTCTACTATTTTATGTGCCACCTCTGCAGCCTCAGAATGGCACATCTGTCTCAACCTAGGGGTAACTGCAGGATCTCAGCCTTCAGCGAGCTCCATCATATATGGATAGTTGCATTCCTAGCCAGCTGGCATGTTTGTCTGTTGTTCTCTGGGTAGAGAAATCACATTTTGCTTTTCTTTCCCCCCCCCCTTTTCATTTTTTTAAAGCCCTTTCCCCAAGTCTATTCTTGTTGGAACTTCTTTGGCAACCTATGAAGGTTCAGAGGCAGCATTTGTTTCTTCCTTCTTATTACAGGAACAAGACTGGGGAGAAGCTCTCCCCCTTTCTTCAAGCCACCCCCTGACAACGTTGCTTCAAAGCTGCCTTTAATTATGGAACCACTGGCTTGATAGTCGGCTAGAAGATTGCGGCCTTCCCTTCGCAAGGCATCTAAATTCAACACGCTCCCTAGCTATTCCATGGGCCCTAATGGGCGCTTATTATTATTAAGATTCTTCTTCTATTATTATTATTATTATTATTATTATTATTATTATTATTATTACTATTATGTTTGGGGGGGGCTTCAGATGACATGCTGTTCTCGCTCACCACATCATGTTTTTTTAATCTCTCCCTGCCTTTGATTATTGCTACTGGTGGTGATAATACGGTTTTCTTCATGGAGTCTCTTGTTTCTGCTTTTAAGACACAGTCAGAAGAAAGCTATTCATTTTTGCAGGATTGCTTTTCTTTTTTGCCTTTTCTTTCCTCCAAAGCTTCTCCACTGAGAACTTCGCCTCACAAGTTGGAACAATTTTAAACCTGCAAAACCAACCCCTTAAGAAATCTTTGGCGGAGAACAGCGCTATCTACCAGCATATGCCTAAATCATGAAATATATTACATGTTTACTTGAACAATCACATTTCGGATGACACCTAGACAAGAAAAGCTTATCATCATGCTTCAAACCATTCTGAATCTCACCTCACTAAATTCAGTGGAGGTATTCAAGAGTAATTGCTCAAAGGGGGCGGTTTGTTTTTTTTTTCCATTCTTCAAATGATTTTTTTTTTTAATGACCACACAGGTCATTTGGAGCTGTATGTGTGCAAAATTATAATTTATTGCCTGGTTGCTGTGACAAGAGGCAGGTGCCCATTTGTCACCAATCCAGAGAGGTAATTCACTAGAAGCTAACTATGGTCTACCTGCAGCTGAGGACAGATGACAATTCCTTAAGGGGCAAAATCTCCATAGAAATGTATGCTCTGAAACTGCTCTTGATGAACTAGTGTTAAATTTTCCAAACAGTATCATCTGTCCTGCAGGAGGTATCGGAAAATTTGAAATGTATAAAGACAAAAATAGGTGAAGATTTTTGGGACCCTAATTTGAACTTCAGAAATTGTCCAATAAAAAAAAATGTCGCATTACCTTTTGATTCACTTATTTTAATATGGATCAGTGTTCCACCTTGCACACATGAAAGGGAACCTTTGGGCAGCTACAGAGGCAGATATGGGCATCCATTTTCCCAAATGATCTTCCCCTGGAAAGAAGACACAGTTGACAAGGAGATAATATTATGCATGGTGGGTTTGTTCACACAGACAACCAATATAAAAGTTAGCTCTCTGGTATGTAGTGGTGCCACACGGATAAAGCTTCTTATGACCTCAGTATACAATAGGTAGACTCTTTAAGTTCTTACCACAGTTTTTAAGTTTGAACAGGGCAGGTAATTCTGTAGCATGATTGCAGAATGTCCTTTGTCTGGTCTATAATATAATCAGCCCATAATCTTTCAGTACCTTCTATTTGAAACCAGTCATACAAAAATCACAACATATAAGTCAAGAACCTTTTTTTCTCCTACCCATTATAACATTTCCTCCCAAAGCAATCTCTTGATTCACCTACAATTGGGGGTGTGTGGTGTTATGTTATTTATACAAGTAGTGCCTTCTCTTCCCCAGTCGAGAGGTGAGCAGTAGTTAGCTCACAGCACAGTAAAGCAATATCATCACTCATGTCTCAGCTGCTTTACAACACTCCAGATCCCTGCATACTTGAAGATGAAGGAGGACCAACGAGGAACAACTTTCCAAGCACAATAACATTGCAGCTCAAGCCTTTGCCCAGTTAAAAGGTGGAAATAAGGTTTGTCTCAAATATCCCTGCATTCATTGTGCACTATCAAGAACTTGCTCTTTCAGAAAATACCTGAAATGGCTTCTTTTTTTTTTTTTTCCTTTTCCCCAAGTCAATAAAAAGCTCAATGCCAAATGTGTGTACTTATTATTATATGTATTCCAGTCACCCACATCTTCACATACATGGAGAATATTTACAGGTATGCATTTAAAGCCTCAGTTTCATAAAAGAAAACTTTCGAATCATGGAAACCTAATGAATTATGATAGACTTTTTTTAAAAATGCAAAGATGACAATGTCCCCTTCTGGTTATGTTATTCTGTAATTCCCTGAATGAGACATGGCTCCTCAAAAGATCAAGGTAAGACTCCCTGCAGTCAGGTTGAAGTCCACAATGCTGACTGATGACTTCATAAACGTGTCTTGGCTACATTGCAACATGGTTTCCCTAATTCCCTTGGCTGTATTTAAGTCGACTTTTTAAAGATTCTCACTACTTTGCTGCTCTGGGTTTTCCTGATAGTTTTCCATCCAAGTACTAGCCATGTAGACCCTGCTTGGTCTTTTTCAATATTAACCAAGGTCAGGGGTGAAATCCAGCAGGTTCTGACAGGTTCTGGAGAACGGGTAGTGGACATTTTGAGCAGTTCGGAGAATCAGTAGCGGAAATTTTGAGTAGTTGGGAGAACTGGCAATTACCACCTCTGGCTGGTCCCAGAGTGGGATGGGAATGGGGATTTTGCAGTGTCCTTCCCCTGCCACACCTACCAAGTCACACCACACCCACCAAGTCACACCCATAGAACCAGTAGTAAAAAAAAAATTGGATTTCACCACTGACCACCGCTGACATTGTGTGACACACAAAGCTAATAATCTCACCTTTAAACATGTCCAAAGCATACCTATTAAATTTCTGCAACTGGAAACTGAATTGCCCAAATCACATTTAATTAGGCTAATTAGAATATTATTATTCTCATCACCGCTGACCATGTGAAAAGTAATAAAGCAGAACATCTCCTTCCTTCAAGTCCTAGGAAAGTATTTTGCAACCTTGGCTGTTTTAAGATATGCCGTCTTCAATTCATGGTGGTTGGAGAATTACGAGAGTTGAAGTCCACACATGGTCAATGTTGAGGAATACTATTTTAGAAATAATAAGGAGGTTAAATATACCCAGTTTACACAATTTTGTTACATGGGAGTTACACTCTTGGCACTTAGAAAATGTGTAAAACACTACTCTTCTGCCAGGTTTTAAATTGTTAATTAATGTCAAGTCTAGTGCTAGTTGCAGTATGTGCTTTCAGTTCTGTATGTCTTAGTTTTTAAAAATATTCATTGCCTTTTTGCATACTTTCCAGAATGGACAGACAGAATATAAATCCAATGACTAAAGCATGCTAACATGTGCCAGGTTTCAAAATCAGTCAATCAATCAGTCAGTCAGTCAATTTCTAGCTGTAAAAACAACAAGCTCAAAAACCCCTAAAAAAGAAAAGAAAAAAAAAGCCTTTGGCATAAAAAGTAGACAGGAATATTCTTGAGGCCCTCAGATATTATAAAACTACCTTTCCATGGGATACAAGAAGATACCCAGGAAGTCTCACGATTAAGCTGGGAAGGATATGGTATGACAAGAGAAGAAATATATAGAACGCAGCGTTTGGAAATCTCCAGTTCCCTCTCCTTCCAGCTGCCTGTCTAAGCTTCTCCCACAGGATTACTCAGCTCACTTGCATCAAGCAAGAGTAAGCATGACACTGGCAAGCTTGGTTATAATGAGGCCTCCACTGATCATCATCTGAGTATCTAGGCATGATGTGGAAGGAGTAGGTCTTTTGTTGATCTCAAGCCATAGAGCAGTACGGGTAATCCTCACCTAATGATTACAACTGGGAGCAGCAATTCCATTGCTAAGTGACACAGTCATTAATGAGACATCATATGACCAAGACTTGCAATTTTGCTGCAGTTTCTCCATTTGACTCTGCTTGGTGGAAGAAGCCAGCTGTGAAGCGTGCAAACAGTGATCACATGACCATAGGATCTGGTGATGTTTGTAAATGCAAGGACTGGCTGTAAATGACTTTTTCATAACTTCAAACAGCCACTAAACAGGGCACTTGTTAAGTGAGGTCTACCTATAATCAATTTAAAAATGCTGGGGACTGCTAGGGAAAGGATGATATGTACTGTATAAAGCCTCATTCTTCAGTTCCACCCCAAGGGAATAGTTTGCTCTTGAGCTAATAACAGCAAATACCTAATTCTAAGCTTCCTGCACAAAAGGTAAGATGGCTGTCAGCTTTTTAAAATTTCAGACCGAAAGTAATAAGAAGCCAGCTTCCCCCCCCCCGCCCAATTTTTTTTACTACCGTTTCTGTGGGCTTGGCTTGGTGGGCGTGGTGTGGCTTGGTGGGCATGGCTTGGTGGGCATGGCAGGAGAAGGATACTGCAAAATCTCCATTCCCTAGCCACTCCAGGGAAGCATACTGCAAAATCCCCATTCCCTCTCCACTCCTGCAGGAAGGATACTGCAAAATCTCCATTCCTACCCCACTCCAGGGGAAGGATACTGCAAAATCCCCATTTCTTCCACACTCCTGCAGGAAGGATATTGCAAAATCTCCATACCCAACCACACTCTGGGGCCAGCCAGAGGTGGTATTTCCCGGTTCTCCGAACTACTCAAAATTTCCGCTACCAGTTCTCCAGAACCTGTCAGAACCTGCTGGATTTCACTCCTGCCCCCACCCCCCAGGTAAGGTAGAACACAACATTTCTGTTGCATGCCTATTGCTACACATGCATGTTTATCTCCCTAATTTAAGAAGACAAGATTACAGGGAACACAACAAACTCAGCAAGTGCATCTTTAAAAAGGTCAACACAAGCAAAACTCAGACAATGAAAACAACTCATTCAAAGAAATTGTTGACAGAACGTGCTGTTGGTGGTGGCCGCTGTTCTAAATATCTTTTGGTTTATGAAGACTGGGCTTTTCTTGCACTGTCAATTCTTCAATCCAAGCTGCAGCCCCCTCACACCTTTCTGTGCTGCTTATGCTTTCAAGGAACTAGACAGAGTCCTGTTCCCCCTCCCGTCTATCAAACAGAAATGATGCTAGAATCACCTAGGTAAATCAGTTGCTGCTAGCTTTCCTAATCAAGGCACGGAGACAATGGATTCTGAACCGTGTGGGCTTTTCCAGCGTCAATGGAGCTGCGTCAGTGAAGTAGCTTTACTTTTACCTCAGCATTAAAGTGCCTATGGAGATTTTCAGTCATCCAGGTGATGGTTGTCCCAAAGGTGCTTTTTCAAGAGGGAACTGGACTTTCTGGTTTTTCTTTGAAGATGTTTCGCTTCTCATCCAAGAAGCTTCTTCAGCTCTGACTGGATGGTGGGGAATGGAAGGATCATAAATCTTTCCATTCCCCACTATCCAGTCAGAGCACTTGTTCCAGTCCCACACCTTTAGGAAAACCCTTTAAAAAAAAACAACAGATGGAAACATTTTAGATGATTCTTCTGAGTTCTATGTGAATCAACCACTTTGGACAACATCTTTGACAAAAAGCAGATCGTACATGTATATTCCTTTTTTCTTCCATATACAGGTAAATGTAACTAAGGTATAATTTTTAATATACCTTTCCAATAAATATGTTTGCAAGATTTCAAAAACTTACACACCTAAGGAAGTAGATTTTAGATGCAGGTATATTTTAGCAACAAATGGTGTGCCTGTGGGTATGTGTGTGAAGGGGTATTGCTTGAAAATAATATTAATATTCCTATATCACCCTGATAAGATACAAGCAATACGGTCTAGCTTCCAAACAAGAACAGTTTGCTGTCATAAATACTTAGGTTTGTTTGTTGTATCAGACATTCAGACAAGTTCTAGATGATCGTTGGGAAAATATTGGACTGAGGAAAAGTTACGAGAGAGAAAAAACACACACACATACAAATTACCTCAACACGATTACAGCATGATGTTAGCTTTTAAGATCCTGTTTTAAAATCTTTCCTTTGAAACCCAAGAAAACGGTGCAAAGCAATCAGTTGAATAATTAAAGGAATAATTAAAGGAAGTGATTCAGTAGTTTAGATCAGGGGTGTCAAACTCGCTGCCCGCAGGCCGGATGCGTCACGCACTGGCCACGCCCACACCCAGTTTAACGAAGGGGGAACACATGATGGCACTGTGACGACGCGAGTTGGGCACCCCTAGTTTAGATCTTATTAGAGACTTGTAAAACATATTGGA